CGGGAGTCTGACAGTGCGAGGCTTCGCGGCGTTCGAGTTCTCTTTGCCAGGCCTCGGGCCTCGCCGGGAATTCTGATCGGCAGACATCGGCAGACGTGCCTCCAGCGCGGAGAGAAAAGCGAAGCAACGACGCAGGAATTCAGCTGGGGTTAAGCCAGCGCTGGACGAGTGCTGCACATGTGCCTTTCCTTGCCGAAGTCTGAGCTCAAACCGCTTCACAGTTTGGCGGGACAGAGATGATGTCTATGTTTGAGTGCTTGTGGGCACGATGATGCTTCGAGCTCAGCACAGACACCTCCCTCTCAAACACGCAGATGCTCTTTTGAAGCTTCCATTCCGTCAGGTTGGTCTGAAGACATTGGCAGCTATTGCAAGGTGCCGCTTTTGAAAAGCGATCGAATTGTTTCATTGCCGTCAGGATGTGTGCGTCTGTTTGAAAACCGTTGGCCGTTGGCAGCTGATGGTTATCCATTTTACTGAGCAGGGCCGCTTGAGAGGTGACGTTGTGGTGGTGCTGTTCTTGAACAAGTTCATTCTCTTCTTCGTTGTGCACCATCTGCTTCCCGTTGAGGCTGCACGTGGTTCCGACTTCAAGCATAGTTCGGGTGCTCCTGGACAGCGGGAGCCTGTGATGCTGACACGCTGGAGGACTTGGCACTACGCCTGAGGCTCAGATGTTGGTGTCAGCTTTATCGACACATCGAAGCGCACGGCTAGCAGCGATCTGCAGCTGTTTCTGTGTGTGTGTGTGCTTGCACGTACTAGCTAATCAGTGTTTTCAGCTGGCCTCGTGGACGGACGAGCACCGTCTGCGCCATTTGCCCGAAATTAGGAATGCCTGACGTTTCAGTTGTTGGCCGTAGCCTCGTGCGTCTGGAAGTGGCGTCATCTGTCAGAGGCACTGTATTTGTGAATATGACTTAGGCATACGATGCAACTTCGGTAGCTGCAGGATGAACTCTATGGATGTACTTTGGTGCGATCCTTCGCAACGCAGCTGGGAAGCTCGACGGATCAGGCTCCAGAGGGGCCCTCCTTTCTGAGCTTCGATGCAAACACTCAGTTGACAGACGTCGCAATTGTAAAATTCCCAAGTTTGGGGGACCCGTCCGTGCCTTCCGCCGGTCTTTAGGTGAGAGCTTTTTGATCGTGAGATTAGCGAGCAAAAAAATCCATTATTCTCCATCATGTGAGCTTTCAGTCTGTGGGTTTGACAGCAGTCATGGTTTTTTGTTGCACGGTTAAGATCCCAGAGGGTAGTGCGTTCCACTTGTCGAGTGCAGAAACAGAAAACAAAAACGTCCATGAATCCCATGCGCTTCTGAGGCGGGCCGATTTTTGGCCTCCGCGGATCAACATTACTTGGCGATGGATTGTCAATCACAAACCACTACGTGCCGGGCTGAAGGGGGGGCTATGGCAGGTGGGAATTTTGTGTATAGCCCAGCATACTGGCAGTTGGACGAGCCTGAGTTGATTCAGCAATGTTCAGCACATGCAAGGCCGAATGCTGCTGACTGTCTGGTGTCTTTTGCGCTTACGGCTACAAGCCTCCTTCGCTCCCTCCAATTCTGCCTCGACCACCTGTGTCGTAGCTCTCAAACAACCTTTGCCATGGCAGTTCTCGCGCTTGCTGTTATGTTGAGTTTCGGACACCTTGTGCAGGGTGACATGTACCTCAACAGCCCACGCGGATCCAACAACAAGTTGCGCGAGCAGAGCAACAACGTTCAAAATGCCAATCGCCTCTTCGATTCGCAGAACAATGCCGCGTCCGGGTACCAGATTGGCGACGATTGCAAGCCGGCATGCAAGGATGAGAACAACAACTACGACGTCACCAAAGAGGGTGCGACCAAAGGGACAATGAAATTCTATCAAGGTTCAGAACTTTACATCGATTGGTTCGTGCAGCACGGTTGCGGCGTTGGTCATCCGAATCTGCACTGCCAGATCACCCTGCAGTACATGACCGAATCGGACAACCCCAACCTCCGCGACGGGACCGACCAGGATTCCGCCGGCGGTGACGACGAGGATCCCACCGAGGAGGAAACAGCCGAGGTGGCCAGGGGTTACCATGAGCCTTTGGAATACTACCAGGCCTGTTACGAGCGTGAGCGCAACAAGGGCTTGTTCACGTCCGACCAACAGATTGAGGAGAATGGCGGCGCCACGTCAACCAGGCAGAACCCCAACGGCAATGGCCGCCGACGCGGCAACCAGCGCCATGGCTTGGAGTGCCCAGAGGCCCAAATCAAACCGAACTGAATTCTGTAGGTCCTGTAGGTGCATTGCCAGAGTTCTGAGTTGTGAGATGTCTAACCGCAGTCACGTAATAATTTAGTCTGCGCAGGAGAGGGATTATTATCCCTACTGGCACCCAACGCCTTGGCACGACATCGCCATTTTCACCCAAGAGCCTCAAGAACGTTGCGAGTACTACCGTGCGGAGTCGCAAAACGTCAAGGAGAAGGGCAGGTGCTCCATCAACCAGTACAACAATCCGGATGCTTGCGCTGGCAATGGTGGGGAGCCCCGGCCCCAGAGGAGCAGGCAACGGTACAGTGAGGCAATTCGGCCACGTTGTGAAATCTGTGAAGCCAAAGCTAGATCCGAGCAGCTAAGGTGGACTTTGGAGCCCGCCTTC